CTAGATATGCTGGTATTTCTGGAATTCAGCCTCTAAGTGGTAAATTTAATCATTTAGTAGAATCTAACTTCTGTGCTAAGCATGAAATTTAGAAGGGAAAGCAGTACCGCTTTCTCCATCATATAAAATATACTGAGAGAAATAAATTTGAATTTAAGGTTAAACATGTCCATATCTGTTTATTTTTCCTTCCCCCTCTCTGCTTTACACAGAGAGTTTCCTATGCTTTACAGTCTTGTTCTCAGTGGCTTCCTAACAGAGCCTGCAAAATTCCTTATCACAGTTCTCCTCTTCCCATCTGGCCAGATGTGTTCTCCAGAGGTTGTGCTGGACTTCAGGTGGGATCCTTGTCCCTTCTGAAGTCAGTGGAAGGTTTTCCCTGGGCTTCTGTGGGAACAGGACTCCATCTTTTGTCACATGCTCTCCAAGATGCAACAAGATGCTCTCTAGGATGTCACATCCTGGAGATGTTCCTGTTATCTGGACTCAAAAATCTAAATGGTGAAGCCATCTGTCAGTTCCCATGCTCTTCCCAAAAAGAGGTGCAAAATGAAGCACATCTATCACAAATGTCATAGCTTTAGTAAACAATGGATCTTTTTTTCTAAAGTGTAGGTATGCTGGGCATCCAAATAGCTAAATATATAATCCTTAATTCCTGCCTGGAAGGAATAGGATTTGTCTTATATCCATGCATAAATCAGGACATGGCTCCTTATACTTACCTTGACTGTTTTAACGTGGGTTGTTTTTTTTTTTTAAAAAAAAAAAAAAAAGCTTTGAGCTAATGTTTCCTTGACATTTCTTTATCATAGCCTAGATCCTTGAAAAAGAGACTGGAGTAAATCCATGCTTTCAACAGCACACATCTTACAAAAGCCTGGGAACTCTTAACTATGGGAAAAATGACAAGGCTTCAGGATGACTCATCATTACTTGAAAAGATGTTGGAAGAAACTGGAGAACAAAGGCTAATTGATGTATTTCCCACTCTTCCATAGATTTCCATCTGCTCTGCCCCACTTTCTGAAGGCCTCAGCACACACAGAAGTGTTTCTCTGCCTGCAAAGAGGCTGCATGGGCAGGACTGGGGCTGCTCTCAGGCCTGCCCTCTAGACTATTTACAAGAGCTTGTAGTCCAGGACAGGGGGGAATGGCTTCACACCGACAGAGGGCAGGGGGGCTGGAACCAGATGAGCTTTGAGGTCCCTTCCAATCCAAACCGTTCCAGATTCCAGTGAAACCAAAGCAGTCTGAAGTGGCCTGGGGAGGTGGGGAATGCCCACCCTTCTGGTACAGGCAGTGCAACCAAGGATCCTTAGTGCTTTCCAGGTAAGGCACCAGGGCACCTCTTTGAACTCTTAAACACAGCCCCTTGCTAAATGCAGGGCATTCCCACCGTAACTGTGTCTTTCTGCTCTCAGGACATGGGCACAGCAACCTGGCAAAGAGCTGAAGGGCGGGACACTGGAACCAGACACAGGAGTCCTCCACTGGAGCACACACCCTCAGCCCCCCCAGTGACCCTGCAACTCACGGCTGGCAGCTCTGTGCACTTTACCAGTCAGTGCCATACAAGATAAAGCTCCTTAGGGGAGTGCTGGAAAGGAGCAAGGATTTTTTCAGTGCTGCTGGATCTGGAGAAGCAGGCACAAGTGCAGATTGACGTGCACCTTATTAGCTGGTCTTCAAGACCTTCTTTGGAATACTACCAACCCCTTGCTCTCAAAGGAATTCACCAGACATACCTGGAGGATCTCCCAACTTCTTCAGACAAATCAGCTCTGCAATGACCTTCCTCCAGCCTAGTATTCTGAGTACTAACTGTGGAAGACAGGTAAGTTGAAAATAAACTGGAAATTCTTTCTAAATGTCTTTTTCTTGAGACTATAAGAACATTTTTGCCAATGCTGCAAAGAGTCATGTTCTAGTGAAGAATGCTTCATTAAAAGCTTTTAGGAGACCAACAAAGACCTGAAAATTGGATAAGTACAATTTACAGTAAGAATTTTCTAAAAAGGGAAAGAACTTTTCCCTCAGCTTGATCAGGGTTCCACATCCTCCCCAGCTTGTCAGCTCTGGAGCAGTGTCTCACAGGGAGGACATCCAACACCCTGGAACTTTCTCTTCCCTAATGAGTTAGGGAGTGAAGTTTCTTATTAAAAAAAAAAAAAAAATTAAAAATCGTAGTAACAGTTTTGTACCTTTCTATGGAAAAAACCAAAACAGTCCCAGCGGACTAAACCAAGAATCTGCTCATCTGTCACTTCTAATGACAAAAAACTGCCAACATTGAAACTTATAATTCCAGAGTCAATATCACTGCTCATCTTTGCAGGAGATGGAAGAAAAAAAAAATCCATGTTATTTGCTACAGCAGAGCCCACAGGGCCCTTGTTTTGAAGTGTTACTTAGTCAGTTCTACTAACCTTATCCACACTTAAAGTCCCTGTATCTCGATCCAAATCAGCTTGAAGTCAGAAGGCTTGTAACTGATACAGTGGGAAGTGAATGAAACCCCGGAGAGAGAAACCGAATGGGAAATGGGTTTTAAAGAGAGACCACCTGCCCCCAAGGCGAGACAGTCCTAGGAAACTACAGTAACACATTGTTCTCGTTGAGCCTTTTGCCAAGGCCAAGAGATTTAAAACAAACATAGCTCCAAGACAGCAAAGGCAAAGATTTCCATTTTCCCCCCAGACATTAGCTCAGCTGCAGTATCCTATTGACTTTCTGCTATCTCTGCAGAGTATTTCCGGCTTCAGCTGGTGGCACAGAAGACATGAAAACTTCCATTTTGCAGCTTGTCTGAAAATGAAACCCCCAAGGCTCTATGTGAAACAGTTACTCACAAGACAAAAGGTTTCGAACCTCTCAAACACCCACTTGGCTCTTGCATTACATTGCGAGGAATTATCTTCATTTAGAAAAACTGGAAGATTTCTAAGTTCATGAGAACAAAAAGAGGGTTTCCACCAACACACTGACAACAAAATCTCCACGTAAATACAAAAAGATTTCTCAGAACAGAAGTAAAAGCCATGCAGATTTGAGAGCACAAATATTTCCTATTTCTCAAGAAAAACAAGTGTTCAACATGCTAACTCTGAACAAGACAAGCAGTGAAGCTGCTCTCCAAAGGACTCCAGAAATACTGAATATTCATTTTGCTGACATGAATCACACAAAGCATAGAAAAAAATCTCACAGGACCCTGCCTTCCTATCTGCACAAGAGCAGGGACAATCTGAGCAAATGACATTTCCCTATGCTAGGGAACCAAGCTTCGGTCTTGCTTCTGTAAGTAAACTGCATTCCCAGAGCCACACTATAAGGTACTGATCTGCTGTTCAGTCTTTTTCCACTCAACAACATGTTTTCATTCCTTATTCAAGTCAAGATCTCCCTCTGCTTCCCCAAGCTGGGCATTGTTTTCTTTTAAATCAGCATCTCTTCTTGCTGTGTGAATGCCCAGGCTGAAGGACAGATGAGGACTCAGAAAGATCTGGCTGCCTGTAAAATTTTTCAGAGGAAAGACTAAGTCAGGTGCTTGTGGTAAACTCACCATCTCCAGACAAAATATTTGAGGACCTGTGTAACAGTTTGTTAGGATACATCCCCGGAATAAAGACAAGTGCAACAAACATTCAAACACACAAAGTATCTTTTCATTACAGTGAGAATAATAATAATAATAAACTTAGCAAAGAGAATCAAAAAACAAAAAAGAATACAAAATAACTGCCTTATCGGGTGGCATTAAAACAAACACTACTAACAGCATTTAATACAGTATAATATTAACTAGTAAAAAGGGAATTAAAGGGATACCAAAAAAGGATCTTAACACAATATTATGGATAACTATTAACATGATATCGGTTAGTAAAAAGGGAAATTAAAGGGAAATACTATGGACAACTAATTTATGTAACAATATTCAATAATAAAAGGGGAATTAAAGGGACACTAAAAAGAGATATTAAAAAATTTGCTTTCTCAGTTGCTTCCTGTCAATAAACTGTGCTTACCCACACAGACAGGCCAGGGCTACCAGGACCTGCAGCAGCTGGTGATGCCTGAGGGGCAGCCAAACCCCGCCTGTTCATCACCTGAGAGCAACAGTCTGTGCATGCCCTGCTGGAGGGCAAGGGGTGAGTGACCCCGGCCCACATCATCTTCCCAAAGGGAAGAAAAGAGTTGTGTTGTATCCTGAGGAGGAATAAACTGCTTGGGATCAAAAAAACCCATAAAATCACACAACCAGTGGCTTACCTCTTCTTCTGGCATGCACCATTTTCCACACCAATTTCAGCGGCACTGATTGTGTCACTGCACATCTACAGAACACACACCTACAGCTCTACCCTTAAAATAAGTTCTCAGTAGATTTCACTGCTGAGGGAGAAAAGCCCCATTAACCACATTACATCTCAAGCCTGCTTCCACTGACTAGGTTTGGTTGTTGCTGGTTCTGCCTTCTTTCTCCTCTTTGCTCATAAACTGGGCCGTCTTTGCAGCAGACACCAAAGGACTTCCCTCCATCCCTGAACATCACCCTAGGAGGCCCTGTTTCAGCTTCTTCTGCTTCTTCCTTCCACTCCAGAAAGGCCTGCGTTTCGAGTTCAGAAGCCCATGCCTCCTGTGTTTTTAAGGTGCCTGCCTGGAGGAGAGGTTGAGCAGCTGCACCCCAAGGCTCCTGTGCCATGGCAGTCTCTAAGGATGGCCCCAGGGCCACTGCCTTGGGATGCCTGAGTGTGGAAGGGGAGTCTGCCGTCAGGCACGGCCACGGAAGTCAGTCAGGACGACAGGCTGCCCCTGAAGCTGCCAAGTGTTGCTGTGAGGCTGGGCAGTCAATAGAAAGGCCTCGTGGCCCCTTTTCCTGAAGCCTTTGGCCAAAGCCGGTGCAGTTGTGCCCACAGCATGCCCGCTTTTGGCATGCTGGCCCGTGTGGGTGCCGCAGTCGATTGTGGAAAGAACGACGTGACAAACTCAGAAGGTTCCAGCAGAGTGGTGATTAGCTCAGAGCCATCACAATTTATTGGGGGGGTAGCTCTATTTATAGGGTAGGTAAGGAAGGTTCTGGAAAACAGGGAGGAGCATGGGACTGACAGGGGTGATAACCAACTGGGGAAGGAAGGAGAGAGCATGGGATGAGCAAGGCCCAATGAGGGAAACAGCTGCAATGCAGCAAACTTGGACCAATAGGAAAATGGGGATTAAACATGAGGGGAAAAATACAATAAAACTTGAAAAAAACAGGGTACAACCATTTTAACACAGGCACTAACAATATTAAAACTGCCTTCCTGGTCTAACTGTCTTTCTATGTGCAGCATCACAATGTTTCAGTTGCTGGCAGGTGTTCTGCCGTCACTGTCTCTCTGAGGTTTCTTTCAACTGCTCTGGTCATCTTTGAAACTGTTTTTCTTCCTTCCATGTGCCTGCCACCTGTGGGTGCCTGGCTGAGGAGGCCCAGGCGTTGTGGCTGCTGCTGCTCCTGTGCACAGCCTGCTGCTCTTGTCTGTGGCTTGGGTGGCAGTGACTGCCCGAGGTGCCCAAGGTGCCCCCCCAGGCCCTCCCCGTGCTGGTAGCACCTCTGCAGGCCCAGAGCTCCAGCTCAGCGGGCTCTGGGACACAGCCCCATGGGCTGGGCAGCCATGGAGGCCCGGGCTGGCCCACGGCCCTGCCTGTGCCCCTGCCCCTGGCCGGCACCCAAAAAAAGCTCCTGGGCCTCTGTGGATGATAAGATTTATTTAATATTCCTATGCTAGGAATATAGGAAGGGCTTGCGGAGAAGAGGCGTCTTCCCCACAGGCTCAGGTGGCCCCAACAGACAGAGCTGCCTGCATCAGCTCTCCACACAGCTACCGCAGCACAGGCACACACAGCCCCACACAGAAGGCCGGGTACTCCATGCCCTGCAGAGCTGGTCTTGGAGCTGCTGGAACCTGGGGTAGGGAGCTCTCTGTACAGCTCCAACAAAGGAGATGATTTCAAGTGCCAGCTTGGAGACAGTGGGACTGCTGTCATCTGTCATGGCCTGAAGGGCTGGAACAGAGACAAGGTCAGAGCCCGGATCGGTGGGGACCCGAGGAGTCCCTCCTGTCAGGGCCATCCCACCCAGCTCTTGCTGTTGCCAGGAGGGAGCGAGGCCCAATGGGATCAGCTGGAAGGTGCTGGCCCCCAATACCCCCCGTGCCCCCGAAATCTCTCTCTGCTCTGACCACGCTGCCCCTCGTCCGGGCAGGGAGCAGAGCCCTGTGCAGCCAGGGCAGGATTGCAGCTCCCTGCCCAGGCTCTGTGCTCCCCTCACCAGCCCCAGTGCCCTCACTCACCATCGATGATGAGCTGCAGCTCTTGGTACTGTCCCCGCAGGTACCTGCCGGCGATCCCTGGCAACACAGACCCTGTCAGGGCCCCAGCGGCACAGCTCCCCCCCGGCGGCGCTGCCGGCCCGGCCACGCACCCTCCTGCCCTGGCAGAGCTGAGCCCGGGGCCTTCCCGCCTCGGGACTCCCCAGGGCTGGGCTGGCACAGGGCGGCAGCCACCAGGGCACTCGGGGCCCCCCAGCACATCCCTCGGGGCTGGGGCCGAGCTGCAGCGGGGCGGGGAGGGACCTTGTGGCTCACCCATGAACTTGACGGCCGCCTCTCGCAGGGGCTGCTGTGGGCTCCACAGGTACGGCAGGGCCTGGTGCACGTACTTGGCCACTCTGCTCCGGTCCTTTTTCAGCTGCAGAGAGTGGAAGGGTTGGCTGGGGCTCTGCCCCTTGGCCGGGCGCTGCCTGCGCCCAGCACTGGCCTCCCCTGCCCGCACAGCCCTGAGGCCCGGGCAGCAGCCGCTGGGGCCGGCTTTGGAGGGAGCAGAGGGCCGGCTGCTCCCCGGCAGCCGCGGGGCCGCCCTGCCCCACAGCCCAGCTGGGCCGGGGCTCCAGCGGCACCCTGGCTCGGGGGCAGAGCAGCCCGCAGAGGAGCCCGCACGCCCCAGGCAAGGCAGCAGCAGGTGGGGCGCAGGCTGCTGTCCCGCGGGCGGCTGCAGCAGTGGGCAGGGGCACAGTGCCGGCCCCGCACTCTGGGCACTGGGGACTGCGGCTTTGGGGTCGTCCTTACCAGGCACTCGCCGAAACTCCATGGCTCCTCTGTGTTGACCAGGCGCCCAAGATCCCTCCTCTTCAGGAACCTGGTCACAGCCAACAGTGCTTTCCGAGAGGCCTGCAGAGCAACAGAGACCAGGACATGGCATCGCAGCCCAGGGCACGGGACCTGTGTCCCTGGACCAAGGCCAGGAGGAGGCTGGAACCCAGAGCCCACGATGTGCCAGGACAGGAGGCAGCCCAGCCCCCTCCCATGGGACACCAGAGCCCACGAGTCCTCACCTTTTTCACGACCGGGTTCTCATCGTGCCGGTGGAAGTAGAGCGGGAGCAGGCTCAGGCACACGTGTGGCTTCAGGGGTCTCTCTCCCGCTCTCTCTATGAGTGTCATCACACGTGTGAAGATGACCATGGAGCCCTCCCGCACACTGCTGTCGTCCTGGTGGAAAGAAAAGAAAGAGGAAAAGACCTCAGCACCAGCTTGTCCAGGCCCCACCAGGCACAGACCTGAAAATCCACAGGGCACAAAGTTTCCCAGCAGCACCCAGAGCCCGTGGTGGGGGCACAGAGCCTTACGTGGTCAAAGAGTGGCCGGAGCGCCTCAGCCAACTGCAGGCCGGTGGGGGTGGGTATTAGAGGGTCTTTGCTGTGGACCCTCTTCTGCAGCTGTGTCCACACACGGCTCCAGAGCACATTGTCGAGCACAGAGAGGGTCATCCAAACCGTATCTCTGTCCTCATCCCCCAGGAGCTGCACCAGGCTGTCCGACAGGCTCCAGATGCTCTTGTCCTATGAGGAACACAAGGCTGTGCTGTGAAGCCATGAACGGCTGCAGCCCCAACCCCGCTCCAGCAGGACAGCCCCACGTGCTGCCGCAGGGCCCGGAGGTCAAAGGCCTGTGCCGACGGACTCTGGCAGCTGAACAGGGAGGCAGCAGAGCTGGGAGCAGCTGCCACAGCTCCTGAAGCCCAGCCAAGCCCAAGTGACTGCACTCCCCAGCCCCAGGATTCCAGCACAGCTTCAGCCAACTGCCCCTTCTCACCATCACGGGATCCTGGCTGAGCGCTATGAGGACTCTGAGCCCCAGCTGACGCCACTTTTTGTCCCTGCTCCCCAGGTTCCTTGAGAGGATCTCCAGGACTCTGTCACCGCATTCTCTGGTGTCCAGGCAGTCCAGGACCTGAAAGGCACAGAGCAGTGACGGGGTGCCCAGCCAGCAGGAGCCCAGACCCGCACAGGGCTGGGCCCTCCAAGAGGCCAGAGAGGTGGAGGCAGCTCGGTGAGGCAGCGCTCGCCATCAGGCTCACCTCCACAAGGAATGCCATAGCAGGGAGGTCCCAGCACAGCTCCTCCCTGCTCAGCAGCTCCAGCAGGTGGAGTGTGATGCGGGAACACAAGGGGCTGGAAACACGGCGCATCTCCCTGACAGGGGGAAAAAGGCACCACTGACCCCGAGCCCGGTGGGCAAACCTCTCCCAGGACAGACTCACAGGGCCCTGGTCTTTCCCCACCAACCCAGGAGGGATCAAGGGCCCTCTGGGAGGCAGAAAGGACAAGCAGAAAGGACAGGGACAGCGGGGACAAGGGGGTCTCACCTGGCCAGCAGAGCCACTGCGTAGCGGCGGCTGCGAGCGTTGAGGAGCCTCGCCCAGCCACGATTGTGGTCCACTGAACGCACCACATCCTCACAGTGCAGGCAGCAGAGCAGGGCCTTCATGCTCAGCACTGCAAATCTGTGTGCAGAGCAAAGCCCAGGTCATGCTGGGAGCCCTGGGCCACCCCGAGGGCATGGGAGGGAGGGGAGGACTGGGATGGAGCACCTGTTGGGGTCAGTGGGAAGGTCGTGTTCCTCCCGGCATCCCCTCCAGAAGCTGTCGACCTCCTCGGATATCTGCTCTGTGGTGATGAAAACTTGGAAGAGCAGAGCCACGAGGAGATGGGGGGAATGCTCCATCAATGGCCCTGGGCACTGGGGCTCCTGGACAATCGTCCACAGTGCCAGAGTTGCCTGCAAAAGACAAACCACCCGGACACAGTGCTCAGTGCCCGGACTTCCATGTGGCAGGGCCCAAGCATGGCAGGGCTCCCCCTGCCAGGGGAGACTCGAGGGGAGCGCCCGGCCTGGTGCCCCTGAACCTGCTGCTAGCCCACATTTCCAGGTCAGTGCCTGCAGGGAGATGGGCAGGGAGATGCCGTGCTGGGGGAGGATGGAGAGCTGCCAGAGAGGCAACCTGGGGGAAAGCAAAGCTTCCAGAAACTCACAGCCAGGGCAAAGACAGCGGTGGTGTCCCCATCGGAGGTGCAGGTGCTGTGCCATGGCCAGTCCTCCATCACAGAGAGCAGCGTTGGCAGCACCTTCTCCAGGGTCGTTCCCGACGAGGCGATGGTCCTCCACATGACTGCAGCAGCTCTGTGGAGTCAGAGCTCTGGGTCAGGGGGCTCTCGAGCACAGCGCCCTGACCTGGGCAGCTGCAGGGGCCGGGTGACAGAGCCACAGTGCTTTCAGGGGCAGGGGATGATGGGCTCTAAAGGCTGGTGAGCCCTCAAGGCAGGTGGGGGCCGTACCTGTCACATGAGGGGGCACAGCGCAGGAGGCTGATGGCGACATCCGCGGGGTGTGCCTGGGTCAGTGCTAGAAGGGTGTTATCCAGCACGTGCCCAGCAGACACATTGGCAGTCAGCCACCAGTGGATGGACCTCACCACAGCTGGCACCTGGAGGGGACGCAGGAGAGAGTTGGCAAGCTGCCAGAGGGAGCAATTCCCCACCTTCCCGCAAAAAGTGCTTCCCTTCCCGCCACACTGTGCCGGCCTCAAAGGCTGAGGGGCCCAGCAGACCCAGCTTGAGGGGCCACACAGTCCCTGCCCACAGGCTGCTTACTTGAGCAGAGACAACTCCCTCATCAAGAAAGGCCAAACTGGGAGCATCGGGCAGGTTCTGAATGGGTGTCCTGTCAGTGTCTGCGATGCCCTCAGTTGTTGGACTGCCAGCCTTGGCCTTGAGCTCGGTTGGGATGGGCTCAGGCTGTGCCATGGCCTTGGATGGTGAGGTCCTGGCCTTTCTACGCCGAACGGGCTTGGCTTTCCGCACCCTCTGCAGGAGAACGAAGGGCAGGGAAGAGAGGGATGTGCCATGGAGAGCTCTGACAGCGGTGCCACAGGCTGAGTAGGGACAGTAGACCCAGCCCAGGAGGCCGTGGCTGCAGGTACCTGATCAGTTCTGCAGGAAGCGGCCACGGGCACGGTCCTGTTCTGGGTTCTGGTCCCGTCCTGGATGTGGCAAAGAGCGAGCGCGGTCAGAGCTGAGGGGCTGCGGGACAGGCCGGAGAACACGGCCCAGCCCTGCATCCACAGGCAGGGCCGGCCCCAGCATGCCCAGTGCATGGATCAGCCCTGGGCCTTCTTCCCCCCTCCCTTTCCCAGGACATGTCCACAGGACATGGGATGGGAGGAGACCCAGTCAGGTGCAGCCACCAGCCCTGGGGCCCAGCTCTGCCACTCACCCTCCTGCAGGGGCTGGAACTGCTCCACCTCCTCAGGGTGCTCTGCTGGGGTAGCCACAGGGCTTTCCTCCTCCTCCTTTTCCACCCATGCCAGCTTGGGCACCCTGGGGGGTCTCCGCTCCATGTCGCTGCTGGGCTTCAAGGCTACCTGCAGGAGAGATGGCACGGAAAAGCTCTGGGTCACCATGTCCTGCAGAAGTGCCTTGAAGGCTCTTGCAGCAGAGGAGCCTTGGGAATGCTCTGGGTCATCAAGTCCCACAGTCTGGCCTGGAGGGAATACGGGGCAGTTGGAGAGTTGCAGAAGGAGCAACCTGCCCACTTTCCCCAGGAAGTGCTTCCCTTCCCACCACACTGTGCCGGCCTCAAAGGCTGAGGGGCCCAGCAGACAGAGCTTGAGGGGCCACACAGTCCCTGCCCACAGGCTGCTTACTTGAGCAGAGACAGCTCCCTCCTCAAGAAAGGCCGGACTGGGAGCATTGGGCAGGCACTGAACGGGTGTCCTGTCAGTGTCTGCGATGCCCTCAGACGTTGCACCATCAGCCTTGGCCTTCAGCTCATTTGGGCTGGGCTCAGGCTGTGTGATGACCTTGGTTGGTGCGGTCCTGGCCTTTCTTCGTTGAACTGGAATGGATTTCTGCTCTCTCTGCAAGAGAACGAAGGGCAGGGAAGAGAGGGATGTGCCATAGAGAGCACTGACAGAGGTTCCAGGTTGAGCAGGGACAGCAGGCCCAGCCCAGGAGGCCGTGGCTGCAGGTACCTGATCAGCTCTGCGGAAGCGGCCACGGGCACGGTCCTGCTCCTGTGTCCGGTCCCATCCTGGATCTGGCAAAGAGCGAGCGCGGTCAGAGCTGAGGGGCTGCGGGACAGGCCGGAGAACACGGCCCAGCCCTGCATCCACAGGCAGGGCCAGCCCCGGCATGCCCAGTGCATGGAGCTGCCGGGGGAACAGTACCGGGCCCTCTTCCCCCTCTCCTGTTCCCTGGCCATGTACACAGGAAATGGGATGGGAAGAGGCCCATCTGGCTGCAGCCACCAGCCCTGGGGCCCAGCTCTGCCACTCACCCTCCTGCAGGGGCTGGAACTGCTCCACCTCCTCAGGGTGCTGTGCCGGGGGTACTCCAGAGCTTTCCTCCTCCTTCTTCACCCACGCCAGCTTGGGCACCCTGGGGGGTCTCCGCTCCATGCCTCTCTCTGGCTTTATGGCGACCTGCAGGAGAGGTGGCACAGAAAAGCTTTGGGTCACCTAAGAAATACCTTGAAGGCAGGTGCAACAAAGGAGTCATGGGAATGCTCTGGGTCATCAAATCCCACAGTCTGGCCTGGAGGGGACTATGGGGCAGTTGGAGAGTTGCCAGAGGGAGCAACTTGCCCACTTTCCCCCCGAGAAGTGTTTCCCTTCCCACCACACTGTGCTGCCCTCAAGGATGGAGGATGAAGGGGCCCATCAGACCCAGTTTGAGGGCCCACACAATCCCTGCCCACAGGTTGCTTACTTGAGCAGAGATGAGTCCCTCAGCAAGAAATTCCACACTGGGATCATCGGACAGGCACTGAGCGGATTGCCCACTTTCCCCCCGAGAAGTGTTTCACCACACTGTGCTGCCCTCAAGGATGGAGGATGAAGGGGCCCATCAGACCCAGTTTGAGGGCCCACACAATCCCTGCCCACAGGTTGCTTACTTGAGCAGAGATGAGTCCCTCAGCAAGAAATTCCACACTGGGATCATCGGACAGGCACTGAGCGGATGTTGTGTCAGTGTCTGCGACGCCCTCAGTCCCTCGGGGGTCAGCCTTGGCCTTGAGCACAGTTGGGTCAGGGTCAGGCTGTGCCATCACCTTCGTTGGTGAGGCACTGGCCTTTCTACACCCAACAGGCTTGGATTTCCGCACCCTCTGCAGGAGAATGAAGGGCAGGGAAGAGAGGGATGTGCCATGGTGAGCTCTGACAGCGGTGCCAGGCTGAGCAGGGACAGCAGGCCCAGCCCAGGAGGCCGTGGCTGCAGGTACCTGATCAGCTCTGTGGAAGCGGCCACGGGCGAGGTCCTGCTCCTGTGTCCGGTCCCGGCCTGGATGTGGCAAAGAGCGAGCGCGGTCAGAGCTGAGGGGCTGCGGGACAGGTTGGAGAACACGGCCCAGCCCTGCATCCACAGGCAGGGCCGGCCCCGGCATGCCCAGTGCATGGAGCTGCCGGAGGATCAGCCCTGGCCCATCTTACCTCCTCCTATTCCCTGGCCATGTCCACAGGAGATGGGATGGGATGGGATGGGATATGACGGGATGGGATGGGAAGAGGCCCATCTGGCTGCAGCCTCCAGCCCTGGGGCCCAGCTCTGCCACTCACCCTCCTGCAGGGGCTGGAACTGCTCCACCTCCTCAGGGTGCTGTGCCGGGGGTACTCCAGGGCTTTCCTCCTCCTTCACCCACGTCTGCTTGGGCACCCTGCGGGGTCTCTGCTCCATGCCTCTCTCTTGCTCCACGGCTACCTGCAGGAGAGGTGGCACAGAAGAGCTCTGGGTCACCTAAGAAATACCTTGAAGGCACCTGCAACAAAGGAGCCTTGGGAATGCTCTGGATCATCAAGTCCCACGGTCTGGCCTGGAGGGGACATGGGGCAGTTCAAGAGCTGTCAGAGGGAGCAATTGCTCACTTTCCCCAGAGAAGTGTTTCCCTTCCCACCACACTGTGCTGGCCTCAAAGGCTGAAGGCCCACACAATCCCTGCCCACAGGCTGCTTACTTCCACAGAGATAACTCCTTCATCAAGGACCTCCAGACTGAGAGCATCGGGCAGGCACTGAACGGGTGTGCTCTCAGTGTCTGCGATGCCCTCAGTCATTGCACCGTCAGCCTCGGTGGTGAGCTCAGGCAGCGCCGTGTTGGATTTTGTCCCGTCATCGGTCACCGCGCTGTCACAGTTTGCTGGGCCGTCAGTCAACGCGGTGCCGACTTCAGGGTGCGCCTTGAGCTCACTCGGCGTGGGGTCAGGCTGTGCCATGACCTCGGCTGGTGTGATCCTGTACAGTCCACGCCGAACACCCACGAATTTCAGAAAGGCCTGCAGAAGAACGGAGAGCAGGGAAGAGAGGGATGTGCCATAGAGAGCTCTGACAGCAGTGCCAGGCTGAGCAGGGACAGCAGGCCCAGCCCAGGAGGCCGTGGCTGCAGGTACCTGTGCCGCCCTGTGGAAGCAGCCACGGGTACGGTCCTGCTCCTGTGTCCGGTCCCGTCCTGGATCTGGCAAAGAGTGAGCGCGGTCAGAGCTGAGGGGCTGCGGGACAGGCCGGAGAACACGGCCCAGCCCTGCGCTCCACAGGCAGGGCCGGGCCCAGCATGCCCAGTGCATGGAACTGCCGGGGGATCAGCCCCAGGAACTCCTCCCCCCTCCCTTTCCCTGGCCATGTCCACAGGAGATGGGATGGGATGAGGTCCATCTGGCTGCAGCCACCAGCCCTGTGGCCCAGCTCTGCCACTCACCCTCCTGCAGGGGCTGGAACTGCTCCACCTCCTCAGGCTGCTGTGCTGGGGCAGGCCCAGGGTCTTCCTTCTTTTTCTTCCTCCTCAGCAGCCTGGTCACACTGAAGCGTCTCTCCGCCATCCTACAGTCGGGCCTCGAGGGCACCTGCTGCAGGGATCGGAGATGCCAGGGAAAAGCTCTGGGGCACGAAGCCCCAGAGAATGGCCTCGAGGGCACCTGCCGCAGGGCCTGGAGACTCCTCGCCGAAGCTCCGGGTCACCAAGTCCTGCGGTCTGGCCTCGAGGGCACCTGCAAGGCAGAAAAGCCTACGAAACACAAGTCCTGCAGCGCGGCCTCAAGGGCAGCTGCCACAGGGATTGGGGACACCTCGCAAAAGCTCCGTGTCACCAAGTCCCGTGGTCTGGCCTCGAGGACACTCGCAGCACAGAAACGCCACCAAAACGCTCCGGGTTAGCAAGGAAGGAGTTGGCTGCACGGGGGCTCCGCACAGCACCGCTCTGTCCCGTCCGTCCCGTCGCACGCTCCGAGGAGCACTGAGGCGTGGCCACCTCACCACCACTACTATGTCCTCACATGTCACAAAGGGCCCTGTGACACCCTGCCCCGTGCCATCCCACCGTGTCACAAAGGGCCCTGTGACACCCTGCCCCGTGCCCTGGGGACTCCCCCAGCCCGGCCAACCTGCCCCAGGTCGGAAGGAGTCCCTTCTCCAAAGCATCCAAGACAGCTGGACACGAACTTTAGGCACAGCTGAAAAACTAAGCAAACCCTCCCCTGCTGTGCCTGCCCACGGCAGCAGAAGGAGCCCCCTCGGCTGCCGACGCAGCCGCAGCGGGAAGGCCACGGGGCCTCCACACGAGCTGGCACGGGCTCCTTGGGAGAAGTGCCGGCTGGTGGCCCTCCCGAACACGGGGCTGTGACACACAGAAGGAACGTGGGGGCGAGGGCACCAATGCTGCTACCACCCCATTGCCCGGGGCTGCACCAAAATCAGCAGCTCTGGCAAGTCCTCGCCCAAGGAGACCTGCCACCGCCCCCAGTCCTGGTAGGGCTGGTGCCCGTCTCCTGCCCCACAGAACTGTGCCCCTGGGGCACTTCTCTGCCCCAGGGCAGCCAAAGCCAACGGGCACTGATGTCTGTGCTCTTGCAGGGGGCTGTTGGGAGCAGCAGCTGGAGCAATTGGTAGCCCTGCTCAGCAGCTGTCAGAAGGCAGAAGTTGTTGCTCCTTCCAGGAATGATTTTTCCATGGAAGTGATGACCTGCAGCACAATAACATCTTTGCTGAGAAAGCACAGAAGAATCTGGCATTTAATAATCCTAAATTCAAGAAATCAGGAATGCACGTTACTTTTCATTGCTCTACACAAGTAGTTTAAAGCAAGTTACAAACTTCCCAGGTTAATTGGCATGACCTGAGAACGTAACATATTTGGAAGTTTGCTTCCCATTCCAAATCAGCAACTCTTTTGTCTTAACAGGGTCCACTGAGAGTGAATTGCAAAAAATAAACACTAAACAAAGAGAAAAAAAATAAGAATTGGGCATTGTTTGGTTTTCAAACACTTTTCTGCTAAGGGCTAATGATATAATAATTCTTTTAAGGTATAAAAGATCTCAAGGAATGGAAGTTCACACAGTGTTGCGAAAGCAACCCAAGCAAATAAGGATATTTCAAAAAGCACCTATCTGTACCAGAGAGAGGATTAGTAAATGGTCAGTAAAGTACAGCTCTCCCCTCTTCTGCCCTGCATGACAGCCAGCACCAGTAATAAAAATAGAAAAGTCATAGATATTCTTTCTGCCCTCCAACTTGCCACCTTCCCCTCTTCACGGCCTCAGCTGCAGCCTTCTGGCAAGTCAAGCAAACAGTTCTCTCTTACACATCTTAAAAACGAACATTCCACTCTAGCCAAAAATTTGGAAGTGATACCTCCAACCCCTGTCCACATTCCCCCCTGAAAGCCCCTCCTCTCTCTCCTTCTCAGCCCCTGTTCTTCACCTCTGCCTGCACCGCTCTTTGCACCTGCTCCTGCAGCAACGTCCCCGGAGCCAGTCTCTCCTCCTTTTCTAATACCATCACAAAAGGGTCATCCTCTTTTCTTTCTCTCTGCAAAAACAAGAATAGTCTGAACAGGATCCTGGCCTGTAGAAAGCAGAAGAAACTTGTCTCTGCAATAATAACTCAAAACCCAACAGGCACTTGCAGAAGATGCACGACTACACAGCCTGACCAGTGAAAAGCAAAACTTGTATTAACGCAAAGCTGTTCTCGAACTAAGCATTTTCCCTCTCCAAAAGCTACCTTCTTATAAATGCTAATATAATACACAAAATACAAGCAAAGCACACCTACCCTGCACAAAAGTTACTATTTGTCTAAACAGTCTGACATACTTGGGGCCTTTTAAAGTTAGCAGCAGAGAGACATGGTTAATTTGCACTGTCCAAATTGTACTTCGCCTTCAAAAAGACAGTGATTATAGTTGCATTAAGACCTCCTATCTGCTTAAACAGTCAATAATTTCAGACTTTTCCAGGGGACAGTTGGAAAGAACTAGGTGAAACTTTACAATGCAGAGTTTAATGAGATGTTTAATGTACTTTATATACACTTTCAGTAAGAAGATTGAACTTAACTTCATTTTCCTTCAAACAGACAACTCTGGTGCTTCCTCTGGGGCGAAAACCCATGGGCCCTACTGCTTAATCCCTTCATGGACACAGTACTGAGGGTGGCTGCAATGCACAAACATTTAATACACATCGAACAGTCTGAATTCGCAACAAACACACAACTGACCACGGGCAGCCCTGTATATGCACACTCTTATTAACACACACTCACTAATTCCAGGGCCAAGAGGATTTAGAGAAGCTCACTCGACACACAAGTTGATCAGTGTTTAGCAGCTTTTCTTTTTATTGACAGCACTGGAGAAGTATTGGGGAGAATCCTCCATCAATGCTTCCCATGGAATTACAAAAGCAAAATTATATGTTATATTTTCAAAGGTCATTGCACATTCATGTAAAATCCCACCTTTCTATGCCCCCTTGCTATGTAAGTCCTTTGTTTCTGGTCCATAAAAATCCTTTGTATGATGTATCCTTGTCATCTTCAATGAATTATTTCCCAACCTTGAATGTCCAATGCTGATTGCGTACTTGTCAGTTGAAGAGATGTATCCTATCTACTTGCAGAAGTTCTTTTCCCAGTCTGTCTTTACTTGCATATCTCTTATGGAAAAGTTAAAAAATGCTCAGCAAGTTAAGCAAAAATGCAAGGTTCTTACTACATTAGAAGTGTACATGGCTTTGGCCTAAAATAACTCTACATTAACTATTTTCTATTGAAGTGTTACTGTATTAAAATCTTAAAAATTAGAACTTCAAAGGAAAAACTTGTCCATACTAAGAAATCCAGGCTTAGCTGGGAGCATACACGATTTAGCAGCTTTTTCAATGTACAGTATTTAAGGACTGCCCACAGTCTGTCCTGGAGGGGCAGTGGAGAGCTGGAGAGAGAGCAACCTGCCCAGTTTCCCCCGAGAAGTGCTTCCCTTCCCACCACACTGGGCCAGCCTGGTCACACTCCATCCTGCCCAGGGATGCCCCAGGGCTGAGCTGGGCAAATACACAGCAGGTTTTATATAAGAAAGGAAGGAACTAAAAGCACAATCTTCACATCCAAGGTATACGACTGATGCGGGAAAAATAATTTCTAGAACGGAAACTTATCTCAAGAATTTATGATGGGCGCTAACTGCCATGGGAGACAATGAAAGCCTGGCCCTTTGGAAACTTTTTAGCAGGGAAACACCAATATGATCACATGGAAACAAGTACCACTGCTATTGGTAGTGCTGCCTGCCTCAGGATCGTGTAATGCACGGCACAGTACAGTTAGGTCATGAGATGCAGGAAGGAAAGAGCAGTAACCTTTCTGATAATACAACGAGGATATAAATATCCTAAGGATATAAAGCTATTAGAGAGCATCCAAAGAAGGGCCCCGAAGATGAGGAAAGGACAAGAGGGGAAGCAGTATGAGGAACAGTTGAGGCCAACTGGCTTGTTCAGCCTGGGGAAGAGGAGACCGAGGTCAGACCTCACCAGGGTCTGCAGCTTCCTCGCTGGGAAGCGGAGGGACAGCTGATCTCTGCTCTCTGTGAGCAGGGACAGGACCCGAGGGAACGGCTGGAGCTGTGTCAGGGCAGGGTTACGATGGATCTCAGGAAAAGGTTCTTCCCCCAGAGCGTGCTGGGGCACTGAACAGTCTCCCCAGGGCAGTGGGCACGACCCCAAAGCTACCAGAGCTCAAGGAATGTTTGGACAACACTCCCAGGGATGGGATGAGATTGTTGGGGTGTCCTGGGCAGGGCCAGGAGTTGGACTGGATGGTCCTTGTGGATAGCCTCCAATTCTGGGCATTCTGTAATTCTATGATTCCTAGACACTGGGAATGAAGATGGATACAATGCTCTGCCAGGAAAATAAATGCCATTTGAAGTGCCTTGAGTCGGTTGTGCACCCAGCTATACTGCACAAAATGAGACAAAATTCAGCTGCTCCTTTAGGCAGAAAGCACAAAGAGCCATCTCCCCACATGAAGCAGCACAATATCAAAAGCTGGCCCCCAAGCTCTTCTCCATCTCCAAATGCAAACATCAGCAAACAGATGCTTGCTAAAGTCAAATGAATTGCAAGGCTCCCAGGATACAAATTCCCAAACAAGCCAGGCCTTTGGAAACACTTCCTAGATGAATAAAAGTCTCTGCCGTAGAGGGTTGTAATAGCTGAGCTTCTACACTGCTGCACAGTCCAGGGAGAGCAGGGAGAACTCCACTCCACAGTGTTCTTGTACAGCCCAAAAGGTGGATACAGGGTTGGACCAAAGGCTTTCCACAGGGGGATGATGCTAAAATGCACTGTATTCTGGCACGTCAGTATTGCAGACCTCAGCAGGTCTGACAGACAGAGCATGCAAAGAACAACCTCCATCTGGCTATGACACAGAGGAATGGGAAGGGACATTGATTCCTTATGACAAGCAATTAGTGGCTAAAGGAAACCCAAGAACAGGCCCCTTTGAGTGAAATGGAAAAGCAAAGTGATTTTGGCAACAGCAGTCTTTTTCCACTCAAGAACATGTTTTCATTTCTCATTCAAGTCAAGATCTCCCTCTTCTTCCCCAAGCTGGGCATTGTTTTCTTTTAAATCAGCATCTCTTCTCGCTGTGTGAATGCCCAGGCTGAAGGACAGATGAGGACTCAGAAAGATCTGGCTGCCTGTAAAATTTTTCAGAGGAAAGACTAAGTCAGGTGCTTGTGGTAAACTCACCATCTCCAGACAAAATATTTGAGGACCTGTGTAACAGTTTGTTAGGATACATCCCCGGAATAAAGACAAGTGCAACAAACATTCTAACACACAAAGTATCTTTTCATTGCAGTGAGAATAATAATAATAATAAACTTAGCAAAGAGAATCAAAAAACAAAAAAGAATACAAAATAACTGCCTTATCGGGTGGCATTAAAACAAACACTACTAACAGCATTTAATACAGTATAATATTAACTAGTAAAAAGGGAATTAAAGGGATACCAAAAAAGGATCTTAACACAATATTATGGATAACTATTAACATGATATCGGTTAGTAAAAAGGGAAATTAAAGGGAAATACTATGGACAACTAATTTATGTAACAATATTCAATAATAAAAGGGGAATTAAAGGGACACTAAAAGGGATATTAAAAAATTTGCTTTCTCAGTTGCTTCCTGTCAATAAACTGTGCTTACCCACACAGACAGGCCAGGGCTACCAGGACCTGCAGCAGCTGGTGATGCCTGAGGGGCAGCCAAACCCCGCCTGTTCATCACCTGAGAGCAACAGTCTGTGCATGCCCTGCTGGAGGGCAAGGGGTGAGTGACCCCTGCCCACATCATCTTCCTCTCACCAGCATCTTCCTCACCCCTATGTATGCCCTCTACCACTGTGTTTCAAGGGTAGATGTATTAACTTGCAGTATGTAGCAAAACCAAGGAAGAACTCACCTCTGATAATGGGGGATATCAGGCTGACTTGCTAAAAAGCACAATGGACCTTACAGTTAACTTGTGCCATGAAGTTGCATTGTACCATACTCTAGCTGGTTTCACATCCTAATATGATTTCTTTCTCATGCCTCTACGCTCCATTGATCATCTAATTCAAAAGTCCCCCCCTTACACCCTGTTCTCCACGGAGCTAAACATAAGTATTCTGAAAAAGGGCTGCTTGAGGGAACA